GGTTTAACTAGGAACGTGCTAATTTTTATTAAAAACTCATAAAAAAATTTATACTCTTGAAATACTTTATAATTATTCATCATAAATTACCATTAACATACTAATTGAAAATTTTCAATTATTTTAAGATTTTGGATTAATTATATACATACATAGATACATACATACATACTTAGATATATATATATATATATGTGTGTGTGTGTGTGTATAAAGAATTGATGGATGAAGCCAAAAGTGACATGTCAAAAAAGGTGAAGGCAAAGCTAGTGATGTGATTCCCATTCTCCACAAACATAGAATTTTTATTTTTTAATAATTAATTGGATTCACAAATGTATTTTAATGTCTTGGTGGTCCATTAAATGGATAAAGATGCCACACACTCGAGTTGCCACCAATACATACATACATACATACATACATACATACATACATATATATACACACACACACACACACACACCTCTTTGCATCGTCATTGTCGTCCTCCTCCTTTCTTCCCGAGACCCGTAATGATATTTTTCTTGTTAATCTCATTTTATATTATTTTTAATTAGAATAACTCATTCTTAGTTGTATTATATATGTATACGTATATGTATATGTATATATATGTATAATGATTTTAACACGAGGAAATAAATTTGATAAAGAAAGGATAAGTTATCTCTTAATTTGGTTTTATGAAATTTAATGTTTATATAAAATTAATATGAATAATAATATTTTAGTTCGTAATATATAAAATAAATGAAATTAATAAATATCAAACTAATAATTCACATTCAATTTTTTTTTTTTTACCAATTTCAAATAATTTAAATTATTATTTTTTGATATTATATTGTATGCTACGTAATATTTAAAGTTTATTTAAATTAATAAAAAATATCATATTAATAAATTTAATACGTAATAATTAAGTTAATGTGGTAGTTTATTAATAATTGAGAAAGTATATAAGTTGAATAAATTACAAAATTATAGAATTAAACTATAAAATTATATAATTATAACAAAAGAAAGAATCTGTACTTGGAGCATAGTGGATCAGGAGACAAGGAGAGAATCCAACGGCTGAGATCTCTCGAACCTCATCGATTTGCGGAAACCCGGAGCCGCTCTTCCCACCCAACTTCTTTGGAATGCAGAAACCCGAATGCTTCACCTCTTAACCTAACCATAGTTAACTAAATAACCATGGTTACTTCACCCACTTCCCACTCAATTCTCTCCCCAGAATTATAACCACCACCTTCTATATATATCTCCCTCTCCATTTCCATCCCTTCAATTATTCCCTCATTCTCTTTCTCTAACTCTTATCTCACCAATCTTCCCCGACAAACACAACTTCTTCTTCTTCCTCGATTCGCTCACTACAATTTTTACTGGATCTTGTTTGATGTGCTGCGGAAGCTGACGACAATGAGCTGCAATGGCTGCCGAATTCTTCGAAAGGGTTGCAGTGAGAACTGCATGCTCCGCCAATGTCTTCAATGGCTAGACAGTCCCCAGGCTCAGGCCAACGCCACCGTCTTCGTTGCCAAATTCTTTGGCCGTGCTGGTCTTATGTCATTCATCTCAGCCGTCCCCCAATCCCAACGCCCTGGTAAATATTAATTGCTAAACACCCTCTTATATATGTATGTGTGTGTGTATATATATATATATATTTTGGTGGGTTTTTTATTGATTTGCCGTTGGGAATATCGGAATTTCTGCAGCGTTGTTTCAATCTCTATTGTTTGAGGCGGTGGGGAGGGCGGTGAATCCGGTCGGAGGGGCGGTGGGGTTACTCTGGACGGGAAACTGGCACGTGTGTCAGTCAGCAGTGGAGACAGTGCTCCGCGGCGGCGTGTTACAGCCACTTCCCGAATTTTACGGTGCCGGTCCGATTCCGGACGGCGATGACTGTTCGGAGTCGGGAATCGAGGTTTTCAGGCCGGTGAAGGCGGATTCAAGGTCGGTGAAGAGGAAGAGATGGGATGATGACGTGGCGAAATTTGGTTCGAAGGATGTTTTATTGAGTCTGGGTCCCGAATCGCCGGAGTATCGGCGAGCGGTGTCGCCGTCGGAGGAGTCTGAAACGACGACGTTGGGGAGTGGGTCGTCGACGAACTGTAGTGTAGTACGGGGAAGTGAGCGGCCACTTCTGAGACTCTTCGTTTGAGAAAAGGGTTACCGGCTACCGCTATAACCGGTGTAATTTTCCGCATAACGGGTCGTATTACGGAATGTAAAAGATAATTGCTGACTGAGAACTGACTTAATTACGGGGTCACACGGTTGTTAGTATTTTGTCATCCCTTTTTTTTAATAAAAAAATAAATTGAGCAGAAAAATTGGGTATGCTGAGAGATTATTAATTATAATTTAATTTTAATAAAGAATTAATAATTACCTGGAAATCTTTTTTTTCTTTTATTTTATATTAATCCAAGTATGTTTTAATGAATAATTTGAGATTAATTTTTAATAATAAGTTATATTTATTATTATTTATTGTACCAGCATGAATTTATTGTTTAAAATTTTTATATTTTATTTAAAGTTCACGAATTTAAATTTACTTAAAAATTTATAATTTATTATTTTAAAAATATATTATGAACCGTAAATAATTATAATATTTGATTTAATAAAAAAATAATAATTTATTAGTGTGTTAGTGAAATTGCGATGATCAAATTGAATTACATCTTAGTGCACATATTATGTTTTTGAACGAGAATGAATAACTCGCGAAAATTAAATTCTCTTAATTAATAATTTAAAAATTATATCTACTTTTTTGTTCAAAAAAAAAAACAACAATTTAGTGGATAAAAACTTTATTTTATATTTAAAATCAAATAATTTCTAGTGTTCGCATCTTATTAAGTAACGTATAATTTGCTATTTTTACTGAGTATATTATAAGCTGACATTAATTATATGTGTATAAATAAATAAATAAATCATGATTAATTTTTATTTATTAAATAATTAATATCTAAATATTAAAAATTAAATGAAAATAAAATAAGTTTCAACCAAATAGAATGTTGAAGATAATTTTGTAAGAGAATACAAAAGTTTCATACTCTAGTTGAATCTTTAACCATAACAAATTGAATTAGAAAAAAAACATAATATGTACACAAACATATACATATACATATACATATATATATATATAAATATTAGATATATACATATATATGTATATATTGAATAGAATCTAGTATTAGAAAGACAAAATGGCTTTTCAATGGTTAAAAGAGACCAATTTGGAAATAGCAGAAAAGTTGGTAAATTAAATTAAATTAAATTAAATCAAATCCAATTGTAACAAGCTGAGTTAGTGATGGTGGGAAGCATGTCAGCATTAGACCTAATTTTCTGGTTTCTTCTTCTCCTTCTCCTTCTCCTTATCATATCCTCTCCAACTCAATAACCCAATTCCCAATATATATATATATGTGTATGTTATATCTGTATGTATAGATTCCTTGAGTGAGAGAGTGGTCAATTTTCTCCTGCAATTTTTTTTTTTTTCCAATAATTGACTTTCACAAAACCCTAATTCCAACTCATTGGTTATATAATTTTGCACCTCTTAAATTATTGTTTTGTACTTCACACAACATGATTTCCTAACATGATCAATATGGTCTTTATTGAAATTAGGTTATACTTCTTTATTTATAATAAAATTAATTAATTTTGTAATTTAATATTAAATTTTAATTGTTTGTATGATCTTATCCATCAAGATTTGCATAAAAAGATTCCCCATATCAAATTAAATATGCATATATTCATATTGCAATAATGAGCTATTAGAAACTAGTTAAAATTAAGCTATAAACTAAAATTCTTGCACTTTGAGTGGGACAAATCCTCATTACTTGATGTTAGTTGTATTTAGCATATATGCCCAATTGTATATATATGTGTGTGTGTGTGTGTATATATATATATATGTATATGTGTGTGTATGTAGGTATCCAAAATTAGTAATGGCTCTTACCCATTAATGGAAGGGTGTTTTTTTATTGTAGAAATTCTTTATATTCAATAAATTATGTTATAAAATTACTAATTTGGCATTGAATAAACCCATCTTTGACTCAGTTTCATGAAACAAAAGTCATGGGCCAGCCACTTCATGTGGTTTGACTTGTTTCGACGGTCAACTCAAAGATATTCCAATTCAACTTCCAAACCAGTACACATAAAATCACTAACATTACTCGTATACGAGTGTTTGTATGTATACAATATATATATACATATATCTAGATGTCTATATACTAGCAAGTGTGAATGACGTAGATCGATTGTAACTCGAATGGTGAATGGGGTCAACTCTACCATTGTTAGAGATAAGAAGAAGAGATTAGGGAGACTGATGAGAAGATTCAAGATTTTCTATCGTGGTTTTTATAAAAATCTTCACGTACATGTCTATTTATAAGCACTATTACAACTATTAGAATTAATTATAACCACCAATAAAAATAATAAATTTAATTTATGACTCACAACTTTTATAAAATAAAACGATATATAGAGACTCTAATTTATGAAATTCAACTAATAATAAACTAATTAATTGTATTATAATTTGTAAATTAATTTTTAACATTTCTCCTTAATTTGCAAATTTCTTTTTTAATCCAAGATTAGTGCGTAGCTTTTGAAAGACTTCAAACGTGAGCGATTTGGTGAAAATATTCGCCACATGATCTTCAATCTTTACGTGCTTGAGTTCCACTTCTTTTTTAGCAATGCACTCTCTAATAAAATGATATTTTTTATCTATGCATTTGATTTGTTCATGGAATACTGGGTTCTTAGCTAGTGCTTGTGTAGACTTATTGTCAATAAAAATTTTAGTAACTTTATCTTGTGTTTAAATGAAGTTGTTTCAATAATTTTCTAAACCATATCGCATGACAAGCACAAGAGGTTGTTGCCACATATTCAGCCTCACATGTTGATAATGTAACAATGGCTTGTTTTTTAGAATTTCATATAATTGCACAATCACCCATAAAGAATACAAAACTAGTTGTACTTTTTCCATCATCAATATCTCAAGCGAAATCATTATCACAAAATCCCACAAGGTTGAAATCATTAGAAAATGAATAAAATAACCCAAAATCAATAACACCTTTAAGGTAACGTAGAACTCTTTTAGCAACATTCATGTGGGAGGTGGTAGGAGCTTTCATAAAATAACTTATTAGTGCAACTACAAAAAGAATATCAGACCTTAAAAATATTAAGTATCTCAAACTTCTCATAAGACTTTTAAAGAGAGTGAGATCTACTTTTTCTCCATTATCAAACTTTGATAACTTGGCTCCACATTTTATAAGCGTGTTCACAGGATTGCAATTAAGCATTTTGAATTTCTCTAAAACTTTTCTTGCATAGCCTTCTTGAGAAATAAAAATATCATCTTCCATTTACTTCACCTCAAGGCCCAAATAATAAGATGTGAGTCCAATATAAGTAATTTCAAATTTAAATAACATGTTTTTCTTGAATTCTTCAAATAAACTTGGATTGTTGCTCGGGAAGAAATCATCCACATATAGACACACAAATAGTATATCACCATTAGGATGATACCTCATATAAAGAACATATTTATGAAGGCAATGAACAAATCTATTATCTTCAAAATACTTGTTTATATGGTTATTTTATGCTCTTAGCGCTTGCTTTAGCCCATGCAAAGCTTTCTTCAATTTCAAGACTTTATCTTTATGACATTCGACCACGAAACCCAATAGTTGTTCTACATAAACCTCTTCATTAAGATAGCCATTGAGAAATGTCGATTTTACATCAAGTTGAAAAATTTTCTACTTCATTTGAGCTGAGATAGCTAAAAGCAAATAAATAGTCTCCATGTGAGCAACTGGTGCAAAAACCTCATCATAATCAATCCCATGTTTTTGCTTGTATCCTTTAGCTACAAGTCTTGCCTTATACCTTTTCACGTTTTCTTGAGAATCTTTTTTAGCTTTATAGACCAATTTGACACCAATAGCTTTATGTCCCTTAGGAAGAGTGGATAGTTCCCATGTGTTATTATTTTATATGGATTTGATCTCTTCCTCCATGGTTTGTCTCCATCTTGCATCTTTGATGTCTTCATCAAAATTTATTAGTTCACTGTCAAGAAAAAGACAAAACAAATCATTTATATCAAAATTAGTGATCTCCTCAGTTTCATCATAAAGATCTTGAATGCTTTTCAACTTTCGTGGCCTTTCACTTGAACTTTCTTGAAAAATGAGTGATGCGACATGAGTTAGAGAATGAGATAGAGTTGCCTCTTGCAAAGGTACCATGGTCTCTTGGTTCTTCTCTTCAAAGTATGGAAAGAAATCATAAGCTTTCTCTTCTTTCTTCTCCCAATTCCAAGTCGCTTTTTCATTAAATTCAACATCTCTACTTACCCATGATCTTCCCATTATTGGATTATCCAATTTATACCCTTTTGAGTTTTCCACTATACCCAATGAAAATATGTTTGACACTTCGATCATAGAACTTAGATCTCTCTTGTTGTGGAACATGAGCATATGCAATACTTCCAAAAACTCACAAATGGTTGACATTAGTTTTCATTCCGCTCAATGCTTCTCGAGGAGTCATATCTTTCAAACTTGATGTTAGAGATCTATTAGATAAATACACTGCACAAGAAATTGCTTCGGTCTAAAATTTCTTGGGCATGTTTTTTGCTTTCAACATGCTTCTAGCCATATTAAGAATAGTTTTATTTTTCTTTTCGCAACTCTAATATGTTGTGGTGATCTTGGAACCGTTAAAGGGCGACGAATTCTATTAGATTCACAGAAATAATAAAATTCTTTGGAAGTAAATTCACATCTTCTATCTGTTCATAAAAATTTTATTTTACAACCACAATATTTTTCTACAAGAGCTTTGAAATTTTTAAAAGCAACAAAAACATCTAATTTTTGCTTTAAAAAATATATCTAAGTCTTCCTACCAAAATCATCAATAAATAGTAGAAAGTATTCATTTTTACCAAATGAGAGTGGATTGATTGACCCACATACATCGGCATGCACAAGTTGAAGTAGCTTGGTTGCTATTGTAGTAGCTTCTTTTAGGAAACTCCTTCTTGAATGCTTTCTAAGTAGACATGCTTCACATAATTGATTAGGATGGTTGATTAATGACATCCCTTTCACCATTTTTTTTTCTCCCATTGCCTTTAGTGCGCAAAAGTTCAAATGGTCAAATCTCATATGCCAACATCATGTTTCATCTTCCATATTAGCCTTCAAACATCTTGCTTTAATAGTTTTGAAATTCAAGATAAACATTCTATTCTTTGACATGTGCACCTTAGCAATCAAATTAACACTTTGATCTCTTAGCTAAAGACAATAATCTTTCATATGAATTTCATATCAATTTTCAAGAAGTTGGTCTAAACTCAAAATATTATTTCTTAACTTTGGCACATAGTAAACATTAGTAATAAGTACATGCACACCATTTTTTGAAGAGAGTTGAATTTGAACTTTTGAAGAGTTTCCAAAAGAAACATTACCATTAATCTTCTTATCAACCTCCACAAATTTTTTTTTTTTGCTGCACATGTGATTGCTTGCTCCATTATCCAAGTACCATGAATTATGTGTATCACTATCTCCCTTTTTACATGCTAGCAACAAAGTTGTTTTTTCATCTTGTTTATTATTGACAAAGTTGGTTTGTTCCTCTTTCTCATTTAAAGTGTTGCAACATTCCCAAACATAATATCCATATTTATGACAATTGTAACATTCAATATTTGATTTGTTAGAATTTCTATAGTTACCTCTTCCTCTTCCTCTTCTACGGCTTCTATTTGATGGTTGACTTTTGTCTTCATTATTTGAGTTTCATTCCTTTTAAATGCTTGACCACGACCTCTACCTCTTCCTCGTCCTCTTTACTTTCCATCATCATTCAAAGGTGCCTTTGATTTGAGAACTTATTCTAAAGGCTCTTCTTGTCTTCTCTTTATTTTTTTTTTCATGAGGTTGTAGAGATCCCTTTAATTGTTCAAATATCAAAATGTCTAGATCCTTTGATTCTTCAATGGCACAAACCACATAGTCGAATTTTGGTGGTAACGATCGAAAAATTTTCTACACCACACGAACATCTTCCATCATCTCACCAAATCTCCTCATTTGGCTTACTATAGACTTAACACTTGAACAAAAATCTAAAATGAATTCAACATCCTTCATTTGCAAAGCTTCAAACTCAACTCATAAAGTTTGGAGTCGTACCTTCTTCACCTTGTCAACTCCTTGGAGGGAATTCTTCAAAATCTCTCAAGCTTGCTTTGTGTTGGTAGCATCGGCTACCTTTAGAAATATAGATTCATTCAAACCTTGATGGATGAGTGCAAGAGCTTGTTGATCCTTCTTCTTTGTTCTTGTAAAAACCATCCTTCTCATTTTGAGTTAAGGATCCTTCATTTTCGGGTGGAGTAAAACATCTTTCTACAATATCCCACACATCTTGTAAGCCAAGTAGGACTTTCATACGAAGACAATAACTCTCATAGTTTTCTTTTGTAAGACGAAAAAATTTGAAAGAAAATAGATTATTGCTAGCAATCTCTAGATTTTTAACAAAAAACCAAGCTCTGATACCACTTTGTTAGAGATAGGAGGAAGATGTTAGAGAGACTAATGAGAAGACTCAAGATTTTCTATTGTGGTTTTTACAAAAAACTTCAAGTACATACATATTTATAGGCACTATTACAACTATTATAATTAATTATAACAACTAACAAACATAATAAATCTAATTTATAATTCACAACGTCTACCAAACCAAAAGATATATAAAGACTCTAATTTATGAAGTTCAACTACTAACAAACTAATTAATTATATTTTAATTTGTAAAACATATTGAATGATAAAGATGAAAGCACGCCGTCCGGCAGATCTCCGATCCACTGACGAATTCCTCCATGCAAACAGTGCATACTTCTTGATCAACACCACCATTCCCCTTTGGCACTGGCAACCATCTTACTTTCTCTATAGCCTCAGTGCATATGCACACTCTCCATGTAACTGCAGCCACCGCCACCACAACCGACCCCACCGCTGGCCTCGAGTTTGTCTTCGACCAGATATTATACACAATCGCTTTGTTTACACTCGCGGGGATGCCCGAATCGAACAGTAGCTCTGCTATCTCGTAATATGCCTGGTGGGACGTAAAGGACTAGTTAGGGTTTAGTGAAAGAGTCTTGAAGGCCACAAGGTTGAATTTGTTGTCGCCCACCGCTTTGGTTTCTTCTCCCAGATCAATGTAATATCGATTCGCGTTGTAGAGCATGAAGGAAATTGATGGCGGCGGTGGAGTGTGGATACCCGTTCGGCCATGACCCACTGACACTTGGAACTCATAGTGTAAGTCCATGGAAATTAAGAAAAGGACAAGAAAGGTGATGGAGATGGAGATTACTGAGAATCTGAAAAGAAAAGATGATGAACGAGCTGAAAAATCAGAGATTGGAAGCTATATTAATGGAAGAGTTTGTGTATAAGACTGAAGGTTTTACGTAATTCCGAGTTGGAGGAGGAGATGGAATCATGATATCAATTTTTCCTAATCAGAGAAGATGAAGAATCTTTGACCAGAATTGGACCACAAACATGTTGCCAGGTCCTCACAAATTCTTATGATGTGGCACAATCTAAACCGTCTGATTCTTCTTGAACATTGATTTGGAAAGTACCAATTTTGAATGTTGACCGAGTCTGAATTTTCTAACCCGATTAGTAAAACACAATCTAAAACTTTTCTTATATCAAGCTCAGAAAACTTCCACCAGCACTACATTCACCAGTCACTCTTTTATTTTTGTGTCTTCTCCGATCTTTCATCTTCTTCTCTGAGTTCTCTCTTGATTATGGCTTTTCAGTTTTGCATAGTGCAAACCCAAGATGTGGGAGTGCGTTTCCTACGAGTTCAGGATGAACGTCGAAAAAGATCATAACGCACCGGAGAACCACTGCCCATCACCGTGGGTTGTCATCCGATTTTACAACGTCGAACGCCACTACATTAACCTGGGCGATGCCGGCGACAACGGAGACAATATTCAGTTTGTGGCGGCCTCGACGTTTCACTGAGGGCCGAGCAGTCTTTCTCATCCCACCAAGTATATTGTCGGATCGCCAAGCTGCTCTACGAGATCGGCGTGCCGCCGACTACTAACATCCAAATCATGCGCGATTTTCAGTGCAAGATGAATTCGAAGTCGTCGTCGGCGGCGGCGGCGGCTGTAAGGATAGTTCGTATTCTGGTAGCTGAGATAACGAGGAAATTTTATTGGTGCGATGAAGTGCTGGAGAAAGTGAGTTGGCCGGTGATGGCGGAGAGTGGTGAGTCGTCGGATGAGGATGATGGTGAAGAACAATGCGTAATATGTTTGGAGGAGTTATTATATGTAACGCAGCTTAGCCGGATGCCGTGCTCTCATCTTTATCATTCGCTTTGTATTGCTAAGTGGCTGACCGTTCATGAAACCTGCCCCTCGTGCCGGTTTCCTATTCTGGAGACAGATAGCTAATCTTCTTCATCATCGATGAATATATACACAGACATACATACATACATACGTACATACATATATGCATGCATGTAAGTATACTCTAGGAGTTTGAAGGAAATGTTACCGGATGACGCGGCAAAATCTAAACAATACCCTCATTCTCAGCGGTTATCCGTTTCAGTCTTCTCTATGATTTTGACTTTGAGTCTAATGAATATGTACATATATATGTGTGCATGTAAGTGTATATATCTTGGGAGTTCGAAGGAAATGGTTCCAGTAACAGGAGAGATAGAACTTATACTGGATCAAGTTCTGGTCTATACAACCTGAACTGGGTCGGTAATACAATGAAAACATAAAGCAAGCCTGTTTGGATACGATGAAATATGAACAGGTCGACCATGAAACTAAAAGTTAATCAGTGAGCAAATGAATCTTCTAATTATGTACATTAAACTACAGATTAAGCAGTAAGAACTCGTATAATACAGAGCTAAATTAGTTTGAGCAAAACCCACTTCTCTAACCTTAAGATAAATTCAGACACACGCCATTTTAAAGATGATCCCAACTGCTTCTACAAGAGCATAATCCTTTCTTTTGCAGTGACATTTACAAGTTCTGCCATTGTCGAATTGGTTTCCTTTGTTGAATGATTGATTCAAAAATTACGTTAGAATTAATTTTTCTATAAAAATTATAAATTAGCTCTGACAAAGAGTGAAAATTATAAAAAAATAATAAATTAAATGGCGATGGCTTTAAATAGAAATTCATCAACCAACCATCCCTATTTTTAAAAAAGAGAGTTACGAGTTTTGGAGCATCAAAATGAAGACTTTATTCAGATCTCAAAACCTCTGGGATTTGGTAGAGAATGAGTTTGTTGCTCCATATGAGGATGAGGAGAACTGGTTGAAGGAGAACAAAAATAAGGACTTTAAAACATTGTTTTTCATTCAACAAGCAGTCCATGATACGGTTTCTTTCAAGAATTGCAGCTGTTACGACTTCAAAGCAAACACGAACAATTCTACAAACAGAGTTTCAAGACTCGTCAAAGGTAATAGCTATGAAACCCCATGCTTTTCAACATGAGTTTGAAGCTTAATTATGAAAGACAATGAATCCACGTAAATATTGTTTTGTATAGAGTAACGACAATAGTTAGTCAAATGAGATCTTACGGAGATCAAATAACTGATCAAATTATTGTTGCAAAAATTTTTAGAAGTTTAATTCTTTCGATCATGTTATACCTGCAATTAAGGAGTTTAAAAACTTGTCTAATTTTTATTTAATGAATTGATGGGTTCTTTGCAAGCCCGTGAGACAAGGTTTAACAAATCAACTAAAAAACTTGAAGAGAAACTATTTCAAGTGAAGTTGGAGACATTCAATTTAAGAGAATTTAACAAGACAACAGCAGAAAGAAGTCGAGGCAGAAGTGCAAAGAATCGTGGTAGAGAAAGAGGCAAAAGTTTTGAGCAAATGCACTCCGCCAATAAACAAAGAGATGGCAAAAATGGAGTCCAATGCTATTAGTGTAATAAGTATCGACATGTTAAAGTAGATTGCTGGTATAAAGAGAAGCAATTAACTAGGCAGAGACAACTAATGAAGAAAATAAGTTGTTTATGACTTATTATGATACTAATAAAGTTACAAGTGATGTATAATTTATAGATAATAGCTGCTCCAACTATATGTCAGACGTGAAGATAATATTTAAAAAATTTAACAAAACACAAAAAAAGGACCGTCAAGTTTGGAGATAATAAAGATATTTAAGTTGAAAGGAAATATTAAACAAGTAGCGGATATATTCATAAAAACAATTCCGAATCATAATAATGTTTTCTTTCCTTCTTTTCCCTCGTCATATTCTCTCCAACTCACTAACCCAATTCTCATTTGGATTTACCCTTTCTTTTATAGATAGATATATATATATATATATATATATATCCACACGTACATTTGTGTGTATGTTATTTATGTATATATAGATTCCAATAATTGGCTTTCGCACAACACCACAAACTATGAATTATTTATTTTTTTTACAAGTTAATAATATTATCATTTTTTAAAATTCTAAATTGATAAATTTTAACCCAAATAAAAAATTCGAGTATTTAACAAAAATAAAACTTAAATTTCATTAACATCCCTAATTTAATGCTTAATGATAAATAAAGTATCGTAGCATATAAATAAGTCTTTTATAATGAGAATTATTTTTTAAATAACTATGTAAAATTATAATTTTGCACTTCACATAACATGTTTCACAATCAATATGATCTTTATTCAAATTAGGTTTATCCTTTATTTATTATAAAACTAATTAATCAATTATGTAATATAAATTTTTATTGTGTGTATGATCTTATTTATAATTATATATATATATAAATTCCCCATGTCAAATTAAATATGCATATATTCATATTTGCAATAATTAGCTAATTAGAAACTAATTAAAATTGAGTTATAAACTAACCATCTTGTACTTTGAGTGGGACAAATCCTCATTACTTGATTTTTGGTTGTATTTCGCATATATGCTTACTTATATATATATATATATATATGGAATTTAGCCGATTAATTTGGTAATTTCCTATATATATATATATATATATGTCTTAAAATTAGTAATGGCTCTTACCCATTAATGGAAGGGTGTTTTTATTATAAAAATTCTTTAAAGTATGATATTATATTCAATAAATTATGTTATAAAATTACTAATTTGCCCTAGATTAGGGCCCATCTTGGACCCAGTTTGATTACGCAAGTCATGGGCCAGCGCGTCATGTAGTTTGACTTTTTTCAACAGTCAAAGTCAACTCAAGGATATTCCAATTACCACCTCACTGATGGATGAGTGCTTGTATATATATATATATATATGTATGTATGTATGTATGTATAATATATACATGTATATATATCTTTCTCTATATACGAGTGACTGTGAATGACGAAGATCGAGCGTAATTCGAGTGCAGAATGGGAACACGACAGAGAGGGCAACTCTGGTTGATAAGCAGCCACTTGGCTATACACATCGGATGATAAAGATGAAAGCACGCCGTCCGGCGGATATCCGATCCACCGACGAATTCTTCCATGCAAACAGCGCATACTTCTTGATTAACGCCACCATTCTCCTCCGGCGCCGGCGCCCATCTCACTTTCTCTACCGCTTCATCGCACCTGCAAACTCTCCATGTCACCGCAGCCACCGCCACCACAACCGAGCCCACCGCCGGCCTCGAGTTAGCCTTCGACCAGATATCGTACACGATCGCGTTGTTTATATTTTCGGGGACGCCGGAGTCGGAGAGTATCTCTGATATCTCGTAGTATACTTGGTGGGACGTAAAGGACTGGGTGGGGTTCAGTGACAGAGTCTTGAAGGCCACGAGGCTGAATTCGTCGTCGGCCACCGCGTCGGTTTCTTCTCCCAGATCGATGCAGAATCGATTCACGTTGTAGAGCTGGAAGGAAATTGATGGCCGCGGTGGAATTTGGATGGGTGTTTCGCCATGACCGACTAACACCTGGAACTCGTAGTCTAGGTCCATGCACGTTAAGAAAAGAACAGGAAAAGGTGACGGAGATGGAGATTATAGAGAAACCAGAAAGAAAAGATGATGGAGCCGAAATATCAGAGATCAGAAGGTGTATTAATAGAAGAGTTTGTGTAGAAGACTGAGGGTTTTACGTAAATCCGAGTTGGAGGAGGAGATGGAACCGCTGTATCAGTTTTTCCTAATCGGAGAAGGTGAAGAATCTTTGACCAGAACTGAACCATTTATATTTTGCCATGTCATCATCAATTGTACGACGTGGCACAATCGAAACCGTCTAATTCTTCTCCGACTCTAATTTGGAAACCTGTGATGACGTGGCAAAAGATGAACCGTCTGATTCTTCTCAAACATTGATTCGGAAAATACCCGTTTTCAAGTTTGACCGACTCCGAATTTTCCTAACCCGATTAGGAAAACAAAATCTAAACCCTTTATGTATATCACCATTCACTCTTTAGTGTTTGTGTCTTCTCCGATCTCTCATCTTCTTCTCTAAATTCTCTCTTCATCACAGTTTTTCAAGACTCAAGATGCAGGAGGACGACGTTACCTACTATTTCAGGGTGATCGTCAAGAAAGATCATAACCCACCGGAGAACGACTGCCCACCGCCGACCGTTACCATCCGAGTCTACAACTGCAAACAGCGCCACATTAACCTCGGCGATGTAAGAGCATTTCACGCCGACTGCGACAGAGACGGTTTTCTCATGGTGACAGGCACGACGCTTTACCTGAAAACCCAGCAGTCTTTCCCATCCCACCAAATCGCCGAGAAGCTCAACGAGATCGGTGTAACGCGGACTATTAAGAGCCAAATCATGCTCGATATCCAGTGCAAGATGAACTCGAGGTCGCCGGCGCCGGGAGATACGGGTAGTCCGGCGGTGGTAAGGTCGATTCGAATTTTGTTATCTGAGATTAAGCAAGAACTGTATAGGTACAGAGAAATGCTGGAGAAAGTGAGTTGGCCGTTGACGGCGGAGAATGGCGAGTCGTCGAATGATGATGATGGTGTAGAACAATGCGTAATATGTATGGAGGAGTTCTTGGGTAGACCGCATCTTAGTCGCACGGCGTGCTCTCATGTTTATCATTCGCTTTGTATTGCCAAGTGGCTTGCCCTTAAGAAAAGCTGCCCCATCTGCCGGTTTCCTATTCTGGAGACAGATATCTAATCTTCTTCATCAACGATGAATATATTGAATTTGACTCTATTAGATTTTTTAAGATTCAAGAAAATCTTACCTGATGACGTGGCAAAATCTGCACCGTACGTTCATTCTCGGCGGTTATCTGTTTCAGCCTTCTCTATGATTTTGACTTTGACTCTAATGAATATATACATATATATGTATATGTGCATGTAAGTATATAGGGAGTTCGAAGGAAATAGGTCCAGTAACAGTAGAGATAGAACTTACAGTGGATCAAATGCTGCTCTATACAACTTGTACTGGGTCAGTAATACAATGAAAACATAAAGCAAACCTGTTTGGATATGATGAAATATGAGCAGGTTGACCATGAAACTAGAATATAATCAGTGAGCAAATGAATCTTCTAACATATTTTTATGTACATTAAACTACAGATTAAGCAGTAAGCACTTGTATAATACAGAGCTAAATTAGTTTGAGCAAAACCCACTTCTGTAACCTTCAGATAAATCCAGACACAAGCCACTTTAAAGATGATCCCGACTGCTTCTAAAAATTATGCAACTCAGAAGCCAAAAACTAAGCTATTCCGGTCCAGCGCCTTTAACCAAAGTCGAGGTTGGTTGGGGGTGTAATGTTAGCATTTTGGAGTGAGTAATAATAGTAATCGTGGTAGTAGTCTCTACACGGGTGTTGTCAGGCTACCGTTTGATGATACTCGACTTAATTGCAGTACATGTGTTCTCAAGCTACAGTCCTTAACCTGTTTTTGCGATTTAAGAAATTGCATGAGCAGATTTAACCCAAGAAGTTTTATAGTAAAATGAATTTGGAACAAGCTATCTTTACCTGGATTGCTGCTAATGTTGACAAGAAATCTTTACATTGTTCAAGCATAATCTTTTCTTTTGCAGTTACATTCACGAGTTCTGCCATTACCGAATTGGTTTCCTCTGCCTGTCAAAAAACACAACAGTTTCAGATATATTTCTAAATGACCATCATCAAGACTATCTAAAATAGAACTTTATCTTCCCTGGACAATTCAGGTAGTATCTGTAATTTATACCCGGTACCTAGTTTGTGATTTTTTGTTTTATTCTCTCTAGTACTGATATAGATAGTACCGAGATTTTTAGAAGAATTATGAAGAAAATAGCAATAAAATTATCTTTATCTTCTCTAACATTATTCTACTATCCTCACAGCTCTCTTCTTTATTCTCTCTCTTCTGCCTCTGCTGATCCCCTCTTTTTCTACTTCCTCCAGCCCTAAAAATCCTTGAAAACTAAACCAAAAACCTGCTTCCCAGCTGCTGTTACACCACCAGGGGCCTCACAAGACACTACCAAGAGATTTTTCCAAACGAGAAGAGATTAGTAGTAGAATCCGTAGATTAGGAATATAAGAATGCCAATGGAAGCAATCTCAGTGTTAGAACTACTTCGCTAATATCTGTAAACTCAACAGGTAGAACTTTGATTTAGGTAGAGTCGTGTAACTGCCAGTGCAATCTAGTTTTCGCAGCATGAAAATGAATTTAGCTACTTGAAAGGGCATGTCTCAGTCAGGGTCGAACACATTCCTTTTTATCTTCTTGATATTCAAAATGAGAGATTGGAACTCAACATAGATGATGCAATCTAGCAAAAGTGTCATTTTGTATTAATACATTACATTTGGCTTTTATAAGGAAGTTCAAAAGTGAAAAGGATGGAAACTGCATAGACCCAAGAATAACTGAGACTTCTACTAAAAAAATCAATTGACAATTCTGATGAGAACAGTTGTACCTTTGATGATAGCAAGCATATCGAGGATGCCATTGCCTGCATTACATCAACTGCTGAACCAACAGCATCCTTCAGATTTTGAATATCAGCCTATCAAATAACAGAGAGCCAGAAAAGGAAGAAAAAATGGGTCAGGCATAAATTTCCCCAACCTCAAGAAAACTGAGAAGTCCAACCATTTTTTTATAACTACCAAAAATCAAGGAGGAAGGCACGTACGGTAGCTTTTCCAACAACTGGAAGACGGAGAGTACTGGCCCTCAAAGCTTCAGTTGCTCCCGACAAGGAACTAGAATGATCTCGATCTAGAAGAGCCCATTCTTCCAAGTACACCATCTGTATACATTTTGATTAACCATAAAAACAATACTTAGGTAATTAGCATCTCAAACTCCGGAAGGAGAAAGTAAATGCATGACTATCCAAGAATACCAATTGACACCTTAAATCATACCAACTTTATTCAATTAGAAAATTTTAGACCCCATTCAAGACAAACAAAATTATCTCCTGGATAAGATCAAGTATTTAACTTAACTAACTTCAAATCCCAAATTAAGCAGGTATTTAACTTAACTAATTTCAATTTACTCAATCAAATATCATTTTTTCAATAGGAAAAACTTATCAGAATTTACAGTATCAAAAGAGCAAAATTCAAACGATAAAGCATGAAGAAAGGTAGAAGGTGTGCTAACAACTACAAAAATCCCATTTGATTGAGTAAACCCCTTCGAAGAGATGTAAGCGTATTTTCCTTAGTCTATCACTTTTATTTTAATTAGGCAGTAATGTGGAAAGTTGTGTCCATTTGCCATGTCAAGGCAAAATGCCAACTAAATGCCACATTGGAAACCTGGTCCAGACTATGAACCATAAAAATCTTATATAATCAAGAAATCATATCTAATTATATGGAGATGCAATGTAAAAAAATACTGAATTGCGAAGATCAGGAGAAGATAAAATTGGAATGAAGTAGGAGCCCTTAACTGTTGTATCTAATAGTACACATTCAAAAATAATTTTCTAAATTTGGTGGAGATTCAATATATCTCCTATTTAAAAGCTTATTTAATTTTCTTTCTTAATCTGGCTCTTGCCAAAAAATGAGTATTCGGGCCACAACAAAATCTTTGTATGTACCAAGATTACAAAAGGGAACAATTCATCAAATGCGTTAATCCTTATCAAAAACAAAGGTTTACGAAAAATGGGGAATGACATAGGTTAAGCAAATTTTCCCTAAGTCCAAGGAAAAACAAAATAACAAATTCCCGTACAATCTTATCCTCCTTTACTGAAATGTTCAGAACTTCAATTCCCCAGTTCACGTGAGAGAAATTTTCATATTTTATAATGGATTTCAAAGTTTCAATGTATTATTTTTACATGAAACCCTCCAGTACCTAACAACAGAATTAGATAATGTTTCTAAATTTCCATCTTCAACTCTGCCATTTAATTCAAGATTAAAGCAATCAATGCAAAGATTAAAGAATGCACGATAAATCAGCAGCATTATTCTTATTTTGTTGTGAATGACAAAAGACACACAATTCTTTCACTTCAAATTTGAGCAGAATTCAATAACTTAGAAGAGCAAAGCGTGGAATCTTACTTGCCCCCTGAGAATGGAGGTTAGTTTCAGTTTTTGCCTCAGCAAGAGTAATTTTATTCTTTTTAGAGTGACAGAATGCCGTAACTCTGACATTGTAACCCATGCGTTCCACAGATTTTTCTGCCACAAACATAATAAGTTAGATAATAATTACAGGAAGCAATATGCTGCATTTATCTTCATTAGATCCTTAACAAAATAGTTGCACTGCAGAGCCCAATCTGGTCATTTACACAAAAACTAGCAAACCAAGGAGAAAAACTTCGGGAATTAAGACGTGTCCTCTCATTTGACTGAAATGCTAACAAAACAAAAACTACAAAAGCAAACACAATATACTAAAGAAAGAATATCCAGGAGAGATATTCAAGATATATTATTGTATAGAGACAAGCTCAGCACAACTGAAAATGGAGTTTCTTTGTTCAGCTTGATTGAACCTGAATTGGGATTAACCATTGAACTGAAATCTTAAGCTTGGGTTATCTAAGTAATTGGCCAAAGAAAATCACAACTAGAAACTCATCTGTCTACTGATAGAAAGATCTTCATGTGATATTTCAATTTAAGGCTTACTATAGTTTATTCAAGAAAAATGCAATTATTAAGTGAGCAAAACCGAAAATGGAGTTTCTTTGTTCAGCTTGATTGAACCTAAATTTGGGATTGACCATTCAACTGAAAACTTTAGCTTGGGTGATCTAAGCCTTTGGCCAAACAAAATCAGGACCAAAACTCGTCTGTTTACTTATAGAAAGATCTTCACCAGAAATTTTAATTGAAGACCAGCTATAGTTTATTCAAGAGAAATGCAATTATAAGGTTCTTTCCCTTTCTTCTCGAGAAAGAGAATGGCACTAATAGAAACATAACTGATCCCTTAATTCATATAATCACATTTGAACACCACAATTGGGCTTGCATTTGCTCCTCATATCCATATGCTATACTGCAACAAAGTCCAACTGAATGATAAAGTCTCTTTAGAAGGTCAATAAACGATCCACTAGGTGCATAGGTCCTTGTAAATCATGGCTTATAAACAGACACATAGACCAATTGGTTGACATTGATTTCAGGGGACTCTCATTTGGATGTGTTCAGAACATTGAGGTATATAACTCTGCAGGGAGGCAGCGTACCCTCTTTGAATACATTGATAAAAATCAACAAACTAGTAAATAAATTAAGACACCTAGAGAAATAAAATTATCCTGCCCTTCTATGGTTATGCTCCTCTGCATCCAAAGCCCTCATCGGTCAACCATTTATTGTCATGTGCAATCACAACTAATGTTGACTGTTGCAAAGCTCTCTGCCACCACTCTTTCACTACATCCTTAGATGCCTTCATTTGATAGTTAAAATTATGTGTCCAAAAGAAAAGATAGGTAAATTATATGACCAAACTTTACCAACATGTGGTTATCCAATGCAGCTAAGAGCTTAAATTTTTAGATAACACAACCAATCGTTATTGTTTCTCATGAGAAAGGAAGACACTCCTTAATTCATACCTTAAAAACAGTGCATTTTTCATTATGGATTGTACTCAAGGAAATAATAAGCCACAGAAACATTTCAATACTAATAGCAAATCCAAGCAAGATGAATAGCCTTGTACCTATCTCAAAGATGGAGGGAGCTTGTAAACCTCATAGAACTTTTGTCTTGTACCTAAATTGTACATCTTTTGCATACAGGTGGCACCCTTGGTTCCTTGTGCATAGTTATATATTAATTTCCCTAAAAATGAGTAGTTGCGGAAGAGAAACAGGTAAACAGCTTTTAACTAACTAAACCTATCAAGACGCATCCACCATATATCTTCACCTTTAGTTTCAAGAACATTGAAGAGATCATAAGGTTTATAATAAGCAATATTCCAAGGAACAGACTCTAAATTCCGAACTCCAAATCACAGTAAAACTGGAGTGTTCTTTTGTCAATGGAGATAAATAAAACTGCTTAGTTTGAGAGCACAGTCACTAGCAGTTTGCCAACAATTAAGTGGTCACTAATGTTTTTTAAGTTATCAAATCCCGTTGAAAATTGCCTAAAGATCCTTCTATCTCTAATCAAACCACTTGAAAAATTCTCAAAGGGAGAACTATAGAATTTGCGTAGTGTATGAATAATTAGCAATCCACAAAATTCCACAGCCACAACTGATTATTGATGCTAAATACTTCATACATATAGATATTTTCATACATATATACATACATAAATATATAGCATCCATCAAAACATTGAGTAAAGAAAACATATAAAAACGTAAACAAAGAAGCTACCTCAGCACCCAGTCTCTGCAGCATGCATGTAGCATCTGCCCGCGCATTCACAAAACGCCATTGCAAGTACCGGTTATACAGAAGCCTCAACATGTGTGCATCAAGAATTCTATCCTCCCCAATTTTTCCTCTCCGAATATCAACAGAGAAACTAAGGATTGAAGGTGAACTATTACAATTACCCATTTGGCTAGAACCAGCTCTCGCCCTTGAGGGACTAGGAATCCCCCTTGCTGGAGACGAAGTGGAAGATGTCCAAAGCTTACTCGGCGAAGCAGGTCGAGTAGCTCCTCTGATGGGGGAAGCCATAGTCCTTGGAGACAGCACAGGACCATCAGTGGAAAATCTTTTTGATTGACTTAACTTAGATGATGGGACCGCCATTCTTGATATAGGACTGGTCGATAATGGCGAACCCGGTTCCTGTAAACGCCGTAAACGGCTATTTGTCTCCTGCCAAAACCTAGCAGAAACAAGAATCCCTCGAGCTCCAGTCTTCCCTTTCGAAATCCCACATTCTGGAACGCCATTAGTGCTGCCAGAGGACACACTGTCAGTATCAGATGCAGTAAGATCACATGAGACAGAAGAGGCCAAGTCATTTGCAGAAATAGCATCTGGGTTTTGCTTAGTCGACAAGAAGTCTTCGCCGTTGCTCACATCCAAGCTCAGTCTCCCATCAAGCGACAGCCTCCTGCTCTCATCAATCATAGAATGCTGAAGTGACTTAACCACCATCCCAGATCCGAACCCACTTGGTTTCCTTCCCTCACCACCGTAATCTAAGCTCCTCATCAAAGGATTCGAGGCTAAACTCCCAGACCTGGACCTCCCAGGCCACCGTTGCTGCTCCATTGGCTTCGAGTTCTCGCCATGATCTCTCACCGGAGTCGCTCTTCGCCTTTCCGGTGTCGATTTCCGGTGCAAAGTAGGAGTACTCGCCTCCTTCTTCTTGCTAATCGGAAGCGAAAACGCCTCGCCTTGAAAGGAAACTGATAAACTCCTTGTAGAAGTAATCAACATCTTCGACGCCGCCGATAATTCGCCGGCATTGCCTCCGGGAACCGGAGTCACAGACCGAGGAACCATAGTTCGTCGTCGGTCCACCGATTGGGACCGTTTAGGCAGCAAAGAAGGGGCG